TTTGTAGTCCTCTTCAAGCCCTTGCAGTCTACTAATAAATTTGAATATGAAGGTCACAACTTTCAACAGATGTGCAAATCCAAAAAAAGTGATCCAGAGCAATGAAGGAAGGATATTCCTACTCGAGAACAACAGAGATGTTTATAGACTCACAAGCAACCAGTTTGCTGCATCTACTGAAGCAAGGTAATTCCTTGGCTGGCCAATGAGCCCCACTTCCACTCAACCAAGAAGGTCCATGGCATCAAAATTTAAGGTTGGATTTAAAGTTCCTCAATGACAATCCTCTAGTGATGTGGTCTGCTGGATTTTGAGTAATCAGAACATACTTGAAGGAGAGTGCCAGGCCAAACTGGGTCTCCAATTAGCCACTCATGTGGAGAACCTTCCCAGTCTATTCCTAGCAAAAATATTCTTGCTGGCCATAGACTGAGATAGAATCCAAGACAACACAACCTGGGGGTCCATTGTCACATACAATTTGGAAGGTAGAAACTCCTTGCAGCTGTTCAAGATAACAGGCAGATACTTCAGACACAGATACACTGCCATCAACTCCAGAGCATGAAGAGTCTTACTCTTTAAGGGAGTAACCTCAGCTTTGTAAAGATCAATTCCGAGTGATGGTTTTGCACGACATAAGTGGTAAACCCATATGCCTCCGTTGAGGCATCGCAGAATACAAACAAGTTTCCAGTCTGGCCCTCTCTGAGTGCCTCCCAGTTGAAGCAAATGAGACACAGGCTGGAAAGGTCCCGTGCAACTCTTCTAGGATATGCTCAACCCACCCCAACCCACTCTTCTATAATCCAGTAGCAAGAACATCACTCCGCAAAGTCACAGAGAGACAAGGGGTCGAACAATTTGGTCACCTCAGAAAGGATCTGTCTCTTGGTCAAAACATCAGGATTACATGAAATCGGAGCTACACAAATTTTATCCAAGAGGGGACAGTCCTGGCACCCAGTACCTTCTCCCACTCACTACTGTGAGTTCTCAAGGTACCATCAAGGCTCATTTTATTCCTGAGGTCGGGGCAATTAGAGCTGCAAGACAGCAGCTCAAACCTACCTCCCTACAGTCGCTCCCTGGAAAGGGAATACAGTTCAAGCAGCCTTGCAGGATCTTCCTCAGTCATTACTAAGTTGTCCACATACAAATGATTCTCCATCATTGATTGAAATGGGTCAAAGGGAAATTGGGCAGCATGGTACTTCAGTATACAACTCAACATGAAGAGACTGGAGGTGAACCCAAAAATAATGGTGGAATATTGGAAACAGTGCAGCCAGTCCATGTTCTTAAGAAGGAAGCAGAAGCAGTTCTTGTCAGCCTCTAATTCAAGGTGAACCATCAAAATCCTTCTTGATGTCCACCAACAGGACATAAACATCTGTTCTGGAAAGACAGCAGCAATTTCAGCATATCACCTGTCATATCCACTCCTGGATAAGCAGCCTCATTCAGTGAGACAGATTTGCCAGTCTTTAAGCTGCAGTTAAACACCAGATGCATTTAAGTTGTAGAAGTGGAGTCAGTCTTTATGATGGGCCGATGTGGGATCCAAGTATAGTTCTTAAAGTGATTAAGAGGCACAAAGATCTCTTCAATGATGCCACCTCATTCCTGCTAGTGTAATACCTCCAAATATTCCCAATAAATTCCTCTCTTCTGCAAGTCTTGCACTACATGATCCAAAATGTGTAAGGATACTGCATGGTTTGAAGCAATCTGAGCCAGTTCCTCAATATGCCAAGGCAACAGTAGATAATACTTATTGTCCCTCAGGACAATAGATTCCTGAAACTGTTTTATCTTTTCCTGGTTGTAATCCAAAAAACATTCCTGTTCAGGGAGCCCTAGGTATTCAATGCTGAGCATTAGTTCCAGCTCCCACTGCATTTGACTGTCAGGAAAAAAATCCCCAAGAGGGTCCACATAAGTTCCTTCAGACTATAACACAAAACAGAGTTGAGAAGTCTTCACTGGGGCAATGCAATTCAGCACTAGACAGAAAAGAAGATGAGTACCTTCACCAGCCAGTGATTGGTCAGTTGAGTAAAAGGTTTCCACCTCTCAGAAGAGAACAAACCCTGCCGGAATGGAAAAGGCCCAACCCTAAAAAGAGGATACTAACTGCAAGGGTTCCAAGTACCAAAAAAGGTCAAGCCCAATGATACCCTTGATTAATACAAGGCTGAAACCTTGGCCAAACCTCACAAATGGGATACTCAAACTGACAGATCCAATGCTTCATCCACCAGAACCAGGAAGGGCCACACATGAAGTTCAGCATTGTGACCTATTGTCATCTTCTCTCCTTACTGGTTTGTTTGTCTAGAAACTTTGCATAAATACCTTCTAAAGGAATCATAAAGCATATTTTTTATTGTTGGCAGGAATGTGACTCGGTTGAAAAATGTTAAATGTTTATTTTCAAAGCATTATTTTATTAACCAGAACAATGTGCAATCCTCTGACTTAGAAAACATTTTTTGTCATTTGGTGTTTATTTCTGTCATTGCTCCACACATCAACAACTTAAATAAACAGCTAACATCATGTTAAAAAATGCATTTGTGTGATATTTTACAATTAAAGTAAAAAATATTTGTTTCAAATCAGATTAATATTCCTAAAATGCAGTTTCAGAAAAATATATTTTATTTTTGGAAGATTTTTTTAATAAAGAGAATAACATTGGAATAGACTCAGGCTAAAATGGTCCTGAAATCAGATTTTTAACATAAAAAAAAAACAAAAAAAAAAATAGCAAACTCCTTCCAGTCAATTTAAATTAGTTTTGAAATACAGCAAAGTATTTTTGTTATATTCTATGCTAATAGGAATATGGAATGGACAAACATGGTGGATAAATAGTAACAGGTTTATTGTAGAAACCAGTACAACAAGCAAGGAAGTAATAGTTATGTGCATGGTCATCGCAAGTCAGTACAGTTGTGTGTGTGCTTCTATCAGAAGGCCACTAGTTCTTGCAGATACCAGCTAGACTCTCTTGTCCGCTGTCCTCACAGATACTTATAGGTGGTTACCACCTATAGTGCCACTACTCATGGAAGTGGCAGGTTTTTCCACCACATCAATTTTGCTTATTGGAAATATTAAATTTAGTCTATTAACTTGAAATTAAAACTGAAATAAAAGCTTCAAGAAAAAAAGTATCTTTCATTTTAAAAAAATTATTTTATTTAAACCTTAGATACCTACATGCAAGTCTCATAGAGACTCTTCTTACCACACCAGGTGTTGTTGCTATGGTTTCCATAGCGAGTAGGAGTTTTACTTTTATGTTTTGCAAGCCAGTTTTGAATTAAAAATTCTCCTCCTACACTGGTAGCCAATCCAGGCTAGAGACCAAAGTCTGTCCCGCTTCAATGATTCAAAAAGTGGCTTTTAGTTTGAACGAAAAGCCTGTAGCTTTTAGCAAGGACACTCCTTCGAACTTAATCGATTGCCACTACAGAATCAGAAATAATAAACCACATCACTTGAGGATTTGCAAATCGACAACGTTACACATGTAAAAACACGAAGAAAAAATAACAATACTCAAGATGTTGATGTTCCACAAAATTTCAAACAAAATTAATTCGGAAAGAATCTACATCAATTACTGGAAAGAGCGGTAGTAATTTATTTAGCTATTGGGCTTGCTTGAAAAACCTATTTTCCTGAAAAACTGTTTTTTAAGAGAAAGATTTTATCACTACTCACTTGGTCAATGAATATTTGAAATTCCCTAAGGAAATGACTAAAAATATTGCCATTTTTTTAAATAACGAAAATAATTTTTAATAAATAATAATAAAAAATAAAAATAATATAATAATATAAATTTTTTTATTCGTTCCTTTTTAAGGATAATAAATTTTTTCGCGTGATACCTAAGAAATAGGAAGTTATTTAATTTCACAGATAGACACACATAACCAGTGAAGCATAAAAGTAAAACTAAACTAAACGTTAGAACAGATGTTTTAAAATACTTGACAAAGCGAGCGAAATGACTTTGTTTAGGATCATGTGATTTGTTGTTTTGTTGTTATGGAATGTCGATAAGAGATTTTTTCATATGAAAGTAAACATCACTAAATTAAAGTAGAAGAAATCCATGTTCTAACATAAAAAATTATTAAAGATAATTAAAATATAAAAAGATTTAAGTTAGAAATGTTCATCTTTCTCTCTAATAACACTAAACACTAAATAATTCGAACAAAATAAATGACTATGCCACATGCCAATAACAACTTTTTAAAAACTCAAATATCCTCTGCTCTAAACAACACTAACAGTAACATAAATAATTTTTATTATTTTCTCCAATCTGTACACTTTTGAATGGCATCATCAGAGATTTTATTTTTTAGTTAATTTTCTCGTCATCATGATTATTATGTCAATAAAATTAACTTAACTTTTATGATCGGTTTTGCGCAATTTTTTATCGCATCATTTTCTTTAAGTGCGTGAAGTTACCACAAATTATTTAAATAAACAGATTTATTTTCAGGATAAAATATTGAAAGTTTTATTTATGTGGTTGAAAGTTAAATTTCAGAATTCTTCAGCACCCGGACATTGAAATGAAATTTATTAAAATCCGGATAGTTTCTTTTTAAGTGTCACTTACACTTTTTAGTTTAGTGTTTTTTAAGTCATTTACAAAAAAACAAAAAAAAAAACAATATTAGTAGATTTTGTGGATAAATTGGCTTATGGCAATTTAATTAGTGTTTGTGAAAAAAAAATCAAGAACAAAATGATTTTCATTCAACAGTAATAAAAATAAAAATATTTAAAATAAATCTAATGTGTTCGTTTAAAAAACATCTCGATAAACTGTTCTTTCTGTTGTATATGTGAAATAAGAGAAAGAATGAACTAAATTAAATTCGTGACTTCTTTTGAATAATTAAATTATAAGTTTTTAACACGCCTTCACGTTAAAAAGGATTTTTTCAAACTGTTCTACTTACCAAATGATAAATGAATCTGTTCAGGCTGATAATGTACAGGTTTACTTTTCCCAAAACAAGTCTTCGAAAAAAATATCGTGACAAACAAAAGTAAAGAAAAGTACATTTTAAATTGGAAGAAGCGTAATTTCATCTTTCCTTTCTTCACACTTCACTCCTTTGATCGTTCTCTTTTTAAAATCTACATAAAATGTATATTATAAATCTTAGTTGTTTTTATGATTTGTCAGGATAAGCACCATCAACTACTTCCTAAATTGGCTGAAGCTTAAAGAAACTGAAGTTAGAAAACAATCTTCTTCACCGTTTCCCTTTCCCACCGCGTGGTAAATCAATTTCCAAAATAAAATGCTTTGTAGAGAGTTATCTTCCCCGGTTTCAATTTTTCTCCTAATTTTTAATTTATTTGCGGTCATAATTTCATGCTAATTTCAGAAAAATAAAATAAAAAAAATATTACGTTTTATGAATTATTGGAATATGAACAATTAAAAAAGAATAGAATAAAATGAAAAAAAGACACGTTACAATATAGCTCAGAAAATTTATTTATTTTTAGTTTTTTTTGTAAAAATGAAAAAAATAGAAAGGACAAACAAACTTGCAGTTAAGTTCAAATTTACGATTGAATAGGTAAAAAACAACAAAAAAACATTTGGATAATATGAATTTAGATACCACCAACTCAAAAGATTCACTAAAAAAAAGGAACATAATGGAAAAATGCCCAACAAAACAAAACTTAATAAAAACTAAGTTTTCTGTTTTATCGTCAAACAAAATCTTTAACTAAACTTTTAAAAAGGGACCGAAAAAGATCATCAAATCAAATGCATTTTTAAAAAATCCGTTTTAGAATCTTCGAAGCCTTGTTTTACTGATGTCAGTGTGGGACCGTAAATTAGTACGGGAAACTTGAACGTCTTTTTGAGGAGAAAAACACATTCATTTGGAAATTCTTACAAAAATCAGATAATATAGTTGTATTTTAATGAAAAGTGTCGATTAAATACGGATGCCATACATGATACAAAATAACAGTGATAACGACAGTCATTTTAATAATGTATTAGTACTGGTCTAAGATTTCGTCAACAAATTGTATTCATAAGTAACCCTAAAGCTAAAAAGTACCTTAAATTCAATGAAATAATTTTAAAAAGTTTATTTTACTATTTTGGGTAGTTAAAAAAAATATAAAAATCGTTGTATTCGACATGCATTTTTAAATTAATCTCCGCCTTACATACAGCAGCTAATTTTTCTCAAACAACGTTGCAGATAAGTATATTGGGAATATTTTTTAATAAAGAGAACTAGGTTGTGTTGACAGATCTATGGAAATTTTATCGATTTTACTGATAATAAAAAAAAAATATTTCCAATCAGTTTATTCAGTTTGCGTTTGAAATTATGGTGTCGGGAAACGGACAAAAAATTAATTTATCGACGCTATTTAGTAACTGCCCCACGCAGTCACATTTGGCACAAGGCCGAATTTAAAGTGGGGTTCCCGAGCCCGGAGGCTCGGTTAAAAAATGCCCATAGACCCCACCCACATAAACGGGATCGGGTCTGTCTACCTCCCCGGACGAAACTGTGCCCTTCGGCATAGCTTCGTCTGGGTTCCTCTCTGCCTTCGGGCAGAGAGTTCGACTAGCGCAGCTCTTAATTTATCGACGATATTTAGTCACCCCCCCACCCCACCCACGAGGGCACCATGTGGCACAAGGCCGGTTTAACGTGGGATCTCCGAGCCCGTGGGTTCGCCCAAAAATATGCCCATTGAACCCGTATAAACGGGTTCAGGGTCGGTTTACCTTCCCGAAAGAGAATCCGCCCTTCGGCGTAACCTCCTTCGGGTTCCTCCCCGCCCGAAGGCAGAGAGTTCAACCGATCAGCCAGTCGGCTGACTGACCGACTCTTAATTTATCGTCTGATTTTTATTGATTTTCCATCTGTTTATATACACATTTACAGATCCGTTGTGAAAAGGCCGTTCGCTTCGCATTGGCTTGTGGCTTTATATCCTGGTTATGAAAGCTTTCTGATTGGTTGTTCGAACTATGGCTTTGTTTAGCTGGCGATTTTTATTATCTGTCGATTTTTAGAGATGATCAAATGTTGGCCTTTTTGTTATTTTTAAATTTATTCATCTATCACCACAAAATACACCAAAGTATTTTGCATATTTGAAATATAAAATTGAATGTATTAGCTTGGAATTAAAACTAAAATAAAAGGTTCAAGAAATATTGTTCATTTTGAAAATGCATTTTAAACCTTATGCAGAGCTTTTTTTTAGCTATTTACTTAAATGTTTTCTTTGAAGTTAAATTTTTGTTTATTTGAAAAATAATATCATGTTAATTCGTAAAAAAAGGAAAATTATTTTACGTCTTTAAATAAAGATTTTAGACATTAAAAAAAAGAAAAAAACAAAAGCATTTCCTTTTCCAGTCGACAAAAAAGAAATTAAACACTTTAAAAATATTTTTAAAGTCCAATATCTGTCCAAAACATTTGTTTCGTAGAAAAAAATTAAATTTAAAGATTAATTAATTAGATTTTTTTAAAATATTACTTTTTGAAAAAAATGTAATGAAAAATGCAATTTCCTGAGCAACGCTTGTCAACACGATGAAATGTCAAACAAATATTATCTTAGAACATTGTTCCTACTTTACAAAATTCCCACCAAAAAATAAAGTAAATTATGAATTACCGGAATTACCATAGTTAAAAAATCTGTTTTTTTTTTAATAATAATAATAATAATAATAATATGCCATTTCTAACCTTAGGTCCTTGGGCGGAACCCGGAAAGAAATGTGTAAACGCCAGAAATCAAAGAAAATAATAATAATAATAATAATAATAATAATAATAAGAAGAAGAAGAAGAAGAAGAAGCAGTTAATAAATATTTATTTATGAAACGCTGAATAATCAATTTTGAATTTCTTACATATAAAAATTTTATTTTTTATGAAAAATAAAATTACGGAGGCAGAACCGGTGTGTACTACCCACGAACGGGATGGAGTCTGATTGAGGGGCCCAGGCAGTGCTTTGTGACCCTCGCTATCTGTTGTATTGGATGTGTTGCGATGTATCGACGAGTTAGCGAAAGGAATGTTCATGTATCTCGTTTAGGGAAATATAACCCAATCTGAAAAGCAATGAGCGGAAACACATGACAATGGAGTGGAAACGAGATTTTATTTATGCTTTCACATCTAGCCATGTACAAAAATTATTAGAGAGTTTGTCTCTGAATTCTACTGCATGCGTGGGAGATTACGCTGTTGCAGACCCGGCAGCGTGCAGTGCTGGTTTATTACAAGGTGGCCTTGTGCCAGACACCACACTAAACTACCGAGTCTACAAGCAATGTAAAAAAAATAAAATATGTGCGTGAATGAACAGTGAGAGGAAAGGGGTCAATCAACAAGTGCATAAAATAAAATATATTAAGATAGCCGACACAGAATGATAGGAAAAAGACTGGATTAATTTTTATTAAATGCAGGAAAAACAAGTAAATTATCCCGTAGTAGGGATCAATAAAAATGTTCCGCGCCAAAAATAGAAACAAGATGGCTAAAGGCGGGAAAAGTTCTTGAAGAAGGAGGTTCCAGATAAGTCAATGTACATGATAATATACATACAAGGAAAAAATACTCACTGCGAGTTTTGGCTAATGTGAGTGAAATGTTATGTATATATTTTTTTCTTTTTTTGTACTGGTTCAAAACAGATTTATGACGAGGCCCAAAGGGGACGACGGATTAATATTTTGTATGTTCTGCATCGTCTCGGAGAAGGACTTTGAATGACGAGTCACAAAGGGCCGAAAAGTTAATTATTTGGTATATGCATCATCTCATAGAAGAATTTTTGAATGACGAGTCACAAAGGACTCAGAATTAATTATTTGGTGGTTTTATTGGTTACATGTTGAATACGAAGTTTCTGCCGACGACTGTGTCGTGTCTCTAACGTCTTCTGGTCGAAAACGGAGAAGGTCTGACCTGCGATTAGCAAGTTGTTCGTCAGTAGGATATCCCTGTCTGTATTTATTGGTTCGCTGACGAGGGATAAAAATAAGCCATCATTAGTTGAATACGAAGTTTTGCTCACGACCGTGTCGTGTGTCTCTAACGTCTTCTGGTAGAAAACGGAGAAGGTCTGACCTGCGGGCAGCTTCAAGACGAGAAGAAGTCTTGGTAGAGTGTGAAGTCGAAGTTGTTCGTCAGTAGGATATCCCTGTCTGTATTTATTGGTTCGCTGACGAGGGATAAAAATAAGCCATTATTAGTTGAATACGAAGTTTCTGCCGACGACTGTGTCGTGTCTAACGTCTTCTGGTAGAAAACGGAGAAGGTCTGATCTGCGATTAGCAAGTTGTTCGTCAGTAGGGTATCCCTGTCTGTATTTATTGGTTCGCTGACGAGGGATAAAAATAAGCCATTATTAGTTGAATACGAAGTTTCTGCCGACGACTGTGTCGTGTCTCTAACGTCTTCTGGTCGAAAACGGAGAAGGTCTGACCTGCGATTAGCTTCAAGACGAGAAGAAGTCTTGGTAGAGTGTGAAGTCGCCATTGTCGAAATAAGATATTCCGGCCCGCCTATGGGTTAAGGGCACGGAATAAATGAGTTGCCCATCTAGTCGGGTCGAAAGTCGAGAGGCAACTGGTTGACTTGCGGGTAACGTCAAGACGAGAAGAAGTCTTGGTAAAGTGTGAAGTCAACATCGTTGAGATAAGATATTCCGGCCCGCATATGGGTTAAGGGCACGGAATAAATGAGTTGCCCATCTAGTCGGGTCGAAAGTCAAGAGGCAACTGGTTGACCTGCGGGTAACGTCAAGACGAGAAGAAGTCTTGGTAAAGTGTGAAGTCGACATTGTTGAGATAAGATATTCCGGCCCGCATATGGGTTAAGGGCACGGAATAAATGAGTTGCCCATCTAGTCAGGTTGAAAGCCGGGAGGCAACTGCTTGCAAACGCTAGCAGTTTTTGAGACGCCGAAAAACGCGCGGGAAAATTCAAAATCTGTTGAGTCCAAATCAGTAGGAGCTAGCGAGGTTACTGCTATGTTT